ATTCAAACTCCATCGTATTTCAATCGGTAGATCGCCCTTCAAAATACTACAAACTGCAGAGACTTGTTCGCCCCAATTAGCTGGTTCTTCGCTGATGGAAAATGGAGCGATCTGTGGAGCGACTAGAAAAACAATCGCAATAAAACGATCACTGTATCGCACATATAAACGATATATAAACTCTTCGATCGGCAAGAATTATAGAATTATGTACAATACATTTTATGAGCAAACGTATTTTGTTTTCAATTTTTCTAGATAATCGATCAAAATCGATTAATTCTTTAATTGTCTTAGATATATAAATTTTCCTCAATAATTATATTCGTATGTAATCAATTGCCAATTATACCTCACTCGATGGGATAGTTTTACAAGGGTATCGATGTTATTGACGTGAAGAAAAGGAAACGATTTCATCTAAGAATGCTTGCAGGCAGATTAGTGGGCTCAATTTCTCGATCTCAGCGACATATTTCGGTTCATGCAGTGTTGTACCATTTACGGCCAAAGTAGCGGAGTAGCTCGTTGCTCCAGCGGCATTCGAGGCCGTGCAAGTATACTCCCCGGCGTGTCTCGGGCTCGCGGTCTCGATAGTTATTAAGCTAACTCGCTTGCTGGTACTTGAAATAGACACATCTGCGTAATTTTCTTTGGTGATGGGCTCGCCGTTTAGCGCCCACGATACCTCGATCGGCAAGTCGCCCTTGACGATCGTGCAGACCGCCGAGACCGCCTCGCCCCAATTCGCGGGCTCGTCGCTGATCGAGAACGGTGCTATTTGCGGAGCGACTGAAAACGATATTTTCCAAGACGTGTCAAATCTATTCACAGACTCATCAAATTCGAATACCTGCGTATCAACATTTGATACGCGAAGAAAAGATGCCTATCAGAAAATATTATTTATTGAAAAATGTTGCTCTAATTTGCATGAATTAGTGTTTCATCCTCCTATGTTTCTATTGCTATACTTATCTGATTTTATTGCACATGTTTTTATATGATAGAAAAATAAAAAACTTTGGGTTTGAGAACGATATAAAAAATGTAATCAAGTATGAAAGAGTGTTCGTAGTATCATTATAGTTTTAAGCTAACTTCATCATGTTTCGTGGAGATAGCGAGTTGCAAAATCTCCGCGGTCACAGTGAATGCACGATGAGAAGCCAGATGATAGACAGACGCGTCCTCATCGTCCCCCGTATTCGACAAGACGGGAAAGAATGTTGAAAAGATATGAACGTGGTTGAGGAAGTTGAAGGGGATGATGGAAAGGAGGGACGTTTTGTCTTCTATGCCCGGCGGAGAAAGAATAGTCGCGAGATGAGATATCGCGTATGTATGCATGCGCGCGTGTTACCGTTTACAGCTAGAGCGGCCGTATGACTGGAAGCCCCGGCTTTGTTCGACGCGGTGCAAGTGTACTCGCCGGCGTGTCTGGCCGCGACAGCATCGATCGACAGGACGCTGAGACGCTTGCCCTTCGTTATAGAGAATTGATCTGCGCTCTCGGCGGATATCGGTTCGCCGTTGAACGCCCAGGCAATGTCCATCGGGAAGTCCCCCTTGAGGATGGAGCAGGTCGCGGAAATTGCCTCGCCCGAGTTCACCGGCTCGTCGCCGAACGTGAACGGGAAGATCTGCGGAGCAACTGCGATCGCGGATCGCGCGTGAGAAATAAAAATTCGATGAAATTCCCCTTCGCGAATTACGGTCCTCGCGGTCCTCGCGAGTCGTCAACAATGATTACGGCGATCAGGAGCAGGGATATCGTATCGTGAGACAATGCGATGATGGGGGGATGATTTACGATGAATTATGAATCGCTGTGATGGGTTAAGCGAGTGCTGTACGACGTTTAGCTGACGTGCAGGTGTGCTTCTGGAGATAAGTAGGTACCGTTGACAGCGAGGGTCGTCGAATGGCTGACGTTGCCGGCCTTGTTCGTAGCTACACACGTATACTCGCCCGCGTGCCTCGCGGCCACGGACTCAATGCTGAGAGCGCTCATATGTTTATTAATCTTCGTGATCGTGATATCCGAATCGTGCGGATTAATCGTATGGCCGTTAAACTTCCAAGCGATCTTTATGGGAGAATCGCCTTTTGTAATAGAACACGTCACGGAAACCATGTCGCCCGAATTCGCCGGTCCATCGCTAATCGTGAAAGGCCCTATGTGCGGCGCAACTACAATATTACGATAATAAATATCAGCCGATTTTCACAACCGTTAAATTTAAATTTATATAAAATAATAAGTTAAAAATCTCTTTATTATATATATATATATATATATATTATATATATATATATATATATATATATATATATATATTTATATCCTTTATAATCCTCGAGTAAAATTATTTATTCAACGCGCAAATTATATTTTTGATGATGGATCCTAACATCGCTGAAATAAAAGGAGAAGATGTCGACGAGATTATTTTACAGATTATTTTTGTTTTACATTTTTTTTTGCATGGGAAAAGGAATTGTAGGAAATCATGGGAGTGATAAACCTCTCTGCACATGCACGATAGGGAAAAGTGAGAATAGCTACGCGAAACACAAGACGTGGGAAGACCTTTATACCATTCACGGCAAGTGATGCGGAATAACTCGTTCCACCAGCAACGTTGCTAGCCGTGCAGGTATATTCTCCAGCATGGCGTGCTGTCACGGCATCGATCGTAAGTAGACTGACACGCTTGCTGGTACTGACTATCGATATGTCAGAATGATCTCGAGAAATTGGCTCGCCGTTGAGTGCCCACCCGATCTGGATTGGGTGATCGCCCTTTAACACCGTGCAAGTTACCGTGATGGTGTCACCCCAATTTGCCGGTTCCTCGCCGATCACAAACGGCATGATTTCGGGGGCAACTATAGAAGCGTTTAATTATAATTTTATTTTACTCCAATTTCAGTAAAAATTTTTAATGCAATTTCTCGTATTCGCGTATAAAACTCATATTTCCTACATTTAATATAATTTTATTACATTATAAAATGTAATATGTGTTTAAATTTTCATCATTAGCTCAGCCTGTCAGTTTCGTTAGACGTGAAGGAATGTGATGGGATCTTCGGGAGTATGTGAATAGTGATAGTGTCAAGCTACATGAGAGAATGACTCATGCATGCATCAGAGAATGATAATGAGAGTTTTGAAGAACGTCGTTTTGTACCGTTAACGGCTAAGGAAGCGGAATAGCTCGTTCCACCGGCGGCGTTACTAGCTACGCAAGTATATTCTCCGGCGTGGCTAGCCGTAACGGCGTCAATCGTGAGCAAGCTGACGCGTTTGCTGGTGGCGATCGTTATATCGGAAAAATCGTGAGAGATCGGCTGACCATTGAGAGCCCATTCGATCTGTATCGGCTGATCTCCCTTCAGGACGGTACACGTTGCCGTGACTGTTTCTCCCCAATTCGCTGGTTTCTCACTAAGCACGAAAGGCGCTATCTCCGGAGCAACTAAAGTGGACAGATGATCAAGGACAGATGATATAATACGATTAATCTACTTGCAAACCGATGTAACATCGACATGAATACAATAACCATCTTTGCGATTGATAACGCCTTGAAGACCACGATTGATAACGCCTTGAAGACCGCGATTGACCATCGATGGTTTCAGAGGAAGCGGGTAATAACGGATAATGACGAGCAATGATGGGATGCAGAGGTTCAAGAGCCAACAGAATAGGAAATATCTCGGACGAGATGTACCGTTCACAGCTAAAATCGTTGAGTGACTGGTTGCTCCGGCTTTATTCGACGCCGAACACGTGTATTCTCCTGCGTGTCTCGCGGCGACGGACTCGATGCTGAGGATGCTATTCTTCCGCGTCGTCGCCAAAATATTAATGTCCGAACGATCTGGCCGAATCGGCTCGCCGTTCAACGCCCACGTGATCTCGATTGGTAAGTCACCCTTGAGAATGGCACACACCACAGAAATAGAATCGCCCCAGTTTGCTGGTTCCTCGGCGATCTCAAACGGTGCGATTTGCGGTGCGACTGTAACGAGTTTTCTACTTGTTTCTTTCCCTTCTCTTTTTTTTAATACTCTTTTATGCAAATCGTCAATCTTCTTCGTAATCCAATTATCTCGACACGATGGGGCCAGAGAATTGAAAAAAAAGAAAGTGAATGACGATGTCGGAATAATTGCCATTAATGTTTTCATCAGATATTCGATCGCATCCTCGCATTTTAATGGGATGGAAAGGGAGAGGAAGATTGAAACGGGGCAATTTTTCAGAGCAAGACCGATATTCTTTTCTAACGATTATTGTAGATACCGTTAACTGTCAATTCCGCGGAATAAGTGGTTGCACCAGCAGCGTTGGAGGCAACGCAAGTATAAGTGCCCGCGTGACTCGGACTCGCAGAATCTATGGACAGCAGACTGTTCCTCTTGGTTGTGGTTACAGATATTCGATGATTTTCCTCGATAGGCATTCCATTCAACGCCCACGTGATCTCTAACGGGGAGTCCCCATTGACCACTGTGCAAACCACCGATACGGAATCGCCCCAATTCACCGCCTTGTCGGCCATTTCGAAAGGAGCAATGCGCGGCGGTACTGTCACAGAAATACTACTTGATATCGAATCGGAGGTAGGATAAGTGAGACAATGAAAAAAGAAGCTCTTGAAAATTATAGATCATAGAAACTTGAACCTTCCAAGATTTTTACGATTTTTTTTTGAGATGCAACTGGCTTGAAAGCATTTAAATATAAAAATACAAAGAAATATATTATATAATTGCGTATGTGCATATATATAATATCTTTTAAGGCAACTAGTGTAATTAGTGATAACGCGATTGTCATCAGCTACATCTCAAAGCTACGACGCATTGCCATACACACGCAATTTTTCCTGATGGTGCCACGAAGCGCTATAAGAGAAGCCCGGTGTGTTTCGTGCGTCCAACCAACCACCCAACCGTCATTGATTCAAACTGAATAAGCGTACCGTTCACCGACAGAACCGAAGAATGGGTAGCAGTTCCGGCCATGTTGCTCGCAGTGCACGAATACTCGCCCGCATGTCTTGCGGCTACCGATTCAATCGTCAGTGTGCTGGCCCGTTTGCTACTCCTGCTTATCATTATATCGGAATTATCGTAATTATGCTCGTCGAATGCGCCATTCGCGGTGTCGATCACACGCCCGTTAAGCGACCAGATTATATCGATAGGTAGATCACCCTTTATCACGGCGCACTGGACAGTCGCCATCTCTCCTGCATTGGCTGCCTCATCACCGAAGGTGAAGGGCGCGATTTGCGGCGCCACTGCAACCGCGAAGGGCACACTCGTAAAATACACGAAAGTTCCGAACATTCGCGGTAAGAGAACGTAGCCGAATCAAATTCAGAACCAAACTGGACGACTCACAAAACAGTATTTGTGGATCTTTAAAGGAAAAATCAGGGAGAGGGATGGAAAAATGGTACTTTCAATAGAGGACATTGAACAACAATGTAACGATAAAGCGAGATACGGGAAAAGATTAAAATAAAAAGAAAAAAATATATATATATAATAACGTGAGCCATCGTTTCGCTGTCACTGCGGGATGGATCTTTGTCACTGGCTGTCGCCATCTTCAACGATAATCTCGCTGTTGCAAGATATCTTACGAGATTATCGCCTCAACAACGACAGTAAGTGCGAACGGTGATTACTCAATCGATTATTACTGCGAAGAATATACAAGAAGTTACAAGAGAATAACGTAAGTGTATACAGGTGTAAGGCAATAAATTTTTTTATATATACGAGAGCGCGGTACCGTTCACCGAGAGCACAGCGATGTGACTGTCAGATCCGGCGGCATTGGTCGCAGTACATTTGTATCTTCCAGCATGTCTCGCTGCCACGCTGTCGATGCTCAAGAAGCTGACCCTCTTATTGATCACGATATTAACATCCGTCCGACTCGAGTCGATCGGCATGTCGTCGAACGTCCACGTCAATTTTACGGGAAAGTCGCCCTTGACGATCGTGCAAGAGACCGACAGCATCTCGCCAGAGTTGAGAGGATCGTCGCCGAAGGAAAATTGAAGGATCTGTGGCGCGACTGCGTGAATGACACCCAGCGTAGACGGAAGGGTGTGAGAGATAGAAAATGGTCAGCGAAAGGATAAATAATGGTATTTTGTATCGTGTATAAATTAAAAATTTTCTCTCGCAGTTTTTAACGTAACAAAAAGAGAAAAATAAAAATGTGTCAGTATACAATTAAAATTATTAGATTATTATAACATTCATAAACAGAAAATAATAATGTTATTAATTACATAAATTTAGAATAGAAAATAAGTAACAGGAAATAATGATTAATTAAAAGAATTATATAAATGTCGGTGTGAAAAAAAATATGCATAGCCGTATCTGTAAATGTTTAATGACCAGCTATGATGTGCTTGAGCGATATTAGGAAGACGAGATAGACGATGCATAGAAATGGGAACATTCACTTCTCTGGAAATCGATTATATGTACCGTTTACAGCCAGATGAGCCGTATGTGTCGTGGCACCCACGCGATTTGACGCAGTACAAGTATAATCACCGGCGTGTCTGGCCGCGACCGATTCGATAGTTAAGACGCTGTTCTTTCGATTCGTACTGGCTATCACGATGTCGGAATCATGACTGTCGATCGACGTTCCGTTAAAGGCCCAAGTTATTTCGATGGGTTGATCACCCTTCGTGACGGAACAGGTGACTGAGACCAACTCACCCCAGCTGGCCGGTTCATCCCCGAAAGCGAAAGGCAGTATTTGCGGGGCAACTGGAAAGAGCGACTGGGAGAAACGGGGCAAGAAAGAATAACTGTCGATTCGCGATGTCTCAAGAATACTAATCGGAGGCAACTTTCACATCTCGATTCAGACAACGTGAATCAATAGATGAGGTTGGTATGGCGGTGGAATATGTATCTGTTTCGTCGAGAGATTTTTCGGCAAGGATGATGGATTATTCGATAGATGGAGGAATTTCAGGTGTGTAACAATTATGTACAAATCTATTATATATAACGAAAACCGTGCAACGGGGATTAGAATCGTACCGTTAACGGTCAAAGTTGTCGATCGACTGACAGAACCGGCCAAATTTGACGCGGAGCAAGCGTATTCTCCTGCGTGGCGCGCCGAGACGCCATCGATGCTGAGGGTGCTCAAGTGCTTGCTGATTTTGGTGATTGTGATACCCGTATCTTTCGACGTGTCGATCGGTACACCGTTAAACGCCCACGATATATCCATGGGCATGTCGCCCTTCAGGATCGAGCAGGGCACGGACACGGAATCTCCCCAATTAGCGATTTCGGCATTGAAAGCAATGGGTAGAAGCTGCGGCCCGACTAGAGGTGTCATCAAACAAATGCTTCATTCGCAGCAGCGTCTGTGAAATCGTGGATCGCTTCGTCGTATAGTCGCGTTAAAGCTTTCGATGGATTCGAACGGACGAAGGAGTCAATTAACATTCACGCAGAGAGGAGGGGGACGAGCAGGATAAACGAGAGATATCAACTATAATGCTGTTTGCAGGGTTTGTGCAAGGATGAGATAAAAAAGGTGACAAAACGCAACTGAAGAATGAAAAAGACTGTGTTCTCTAGGAACAGAATCGTAGTCCCGAACCATTGACGGTGAGGATGGTCGAGTGGGACGCCGTTCCAGCCGCGTTTTCGGCGGTACAAACATATTCCCCCGCGTGTCTCGCGGTGATGACCGAGATCATGAGCATGCTAACGCGATCCGCGACCTTCTTCGCGATTACGCCGGAGGAACCGCCCATCTCTTCTCCAGGATAGCTCCAATGTATGTTTAACGGCAGGTCGCCGGCCGGCACGATACACTGCAGATTCGCAAACTCTCCGGCGTTCATCGGTAGCTTCGTGAACGCGAACTCCTGAACGATGGGCGGCACTAAGGATGGAGGAGCGATGTATGGATGTATATACGATTAGATCACGTAATTGTCGCCTGTATACCCGTGTCATGCTCATGGCTATTATAGACATGTTACGTGATACTTGAAAATATTTCTGCAATTTTCATATTAAAAATGCTTTCTAATATGTTTTCTTTAATTAACCGAGAATTAAATTTTAAATTAAATGGAGAATTAAATTTGTTCTGGATATATAAATATAATGTACTAAAAATCTTATTTCATAAATACGAAAGATATTTATTTATCCGATCGAAAAACTATGTCTATAATATACACGAACGCATAGCACTTGACCGTACGATAGAAGAAGAGATCTGATTTAAGTACGTCAGAATTCTTACTAACGATTCACAATCGGCCACCGCCATACCAACTCCCAACAAAACTTTCCACAAATGCGTGTCCTCTCTATGGGTCGACGTACGTTTGGTCTATGGTTATTAAATAATCAACGACGGCATCGTGCGCGTGTCCGAGTCCGTGCCCGTGTCCTACGTACAAGTCGCACTCTTTAAAATGTATAACTCGTTTCTCGTATACGCGCGAATGACATCCTCGAAAAAAAAAAAACAATTTGTCGACACCTTCGGCATGGTATTACGTTCAATATAGGGCAGTGCGACATAAAGTTTAATAGCGGCTGTAAAAGATAATCCGTTGCAAGGAGAATAGCTGAAAATAAAATGTTTACTATCCTAACATTATCACAATTATCTCGTCAATTAGTCAGCTGTTCGGCTGATGGCTGCAAATGTAAATGTATTTTCTATTTTTGAAATTATTGAAAGACCCATTACTTTGACGAAGAATTAAATATATCATAAAAATAAATCTTTCTGAATATATATTACTTGTAGGTATTAAAAGTATTTAACATTATTATTAAACGAGAATAAACTTTTGAAAAATTTTAATATTCTATTATATGTTCAAATTTTTCTTTAATAATTTTTATGTCGAAAAATTCAACTCTATTAAACATGGAAAAATTATTTAACTTTTAAAATGCAATCGAATTTTGTAACTCTTTGAATAAAATGTATTTATCAATATATTTGTCATAATATGTAAGAATCTCAATATTACGCGAACAATTTTATTACGCGATGAATTGAAATATCGACCACGCAAAAGATATAAGAAAATATAAAGTTTCAAACTTACCCATAACTTGAACTTCCAGCGTTCCACGTGCACTGTAACCTTGGGCGTTGCGTGCTACGCAAGTGTAAGTCGCCTGGTCGCTCATTCGTTCAACATTCTCGATGATGAGAGTGCCATTAGGGAAGACCTTTTGCTTTCTGTTAATCGGTAGAACTCTGGTATCTCGTTCCCAAACGATGCTTTCGATCGGGTATCCAGCAACAGGACAGGTGACACGCAAAGTTTCTCCTGCAACGATAGCTTTCTTGTCCATGTGACGAATGAATGGCAAACCATATACGTTGAGACGGGCAGAATGTTCGGCAGCTCCAACCTATAACAATATAATAATATTAAACGTTTTATTTAAAACGTACTCTCTAAATTTCTTAGAGTGAAAATGCACTTGAAAAATTGAGTGACTGGTCAAGTCTAACTGGTCACTCTAATTAGAATGACTTTTCACTCATAGGAGTGAATTCTTCTCACTTTTTGTTGTAGAGTAAAAAATTCACACTGCAAAATAGAGTAAAGTATATATACTCTACTTTATAGAGTGAATATTTTCACTCTATGTAGCATTTTCATTCTGTATAGAGTGAAAATTTTTACATGAAGAGTGAGTAAAGCGCATAATACGTTACGTTCAGAATTAAACACTTTTGTGAAAAGTGAATGTTCATTAATTATTTGCGAGTGGCAGTATTTTCACTATCACTTGGAGTGAATATTCACTCGTTGGAGTTAGATTTTACTCTAAGAAATTTAGAGAGTATTTAGATGATATATCAAAATTTATTTAAAAAATTTTACAATATAAAAATAAATAAAATAAAAAGTCTTTTAATTTATTAATATTTGATTATATTCAAATAGAAAAATTTAAATTTTATGTCTTTTTATGAAAAAAAGAAATATTGTAAAAAAAGACAGGAGAATTACTAACCTTTGATGCAGCAATACACTTGTACAGTCCACCATCATTGGTATGAATGCTCGAAATATTCAGATGCGAAACGACATCACCATTGACGGTGACGTATTGTCCCACTTGCAACCTCTCGGTGTTCGACAGTCGTTTTCCATCAAGTTCCCAGGTAATTTCGGGGGTGGGATTTCCGCTGGCAACACACTTCAAAAACATGCTCGGTCCAGGCTGAAGAGTCTCTTCTGCAAAGGCTGGACGAATCTGGGGGGGCTCGACTGTCGATAATCAAAGAGATAGGAGAATAATTCCGTTGACGCGTACACACACACACACACACACACACACACACACACACACACACACACACACACACACACACACACACACACACACAATATACAATCATTATATCTTTTATATTCCCTCGGTCAATTTTCTTAATTGGCAGTTTGAGATTTAATTATAAGCGTGTTGTTTCAATGAGAATCATGCTAATTACATCGAAGAAAAGTTTCTATTAATTTATGAGAATTTTTTGTTTTACAAACAAAATTGAATTAATTTTTAATTAAATTATTTGCAATGCCAATTGCAATGTTAATGTCAATTTCGCATATAAATAATTTAATTAAAAATTCGGAAAAATATGATATGTATATAAAAGAATTTAATACTCACATCTTCCGCCAAGTTTCAATTCTGCCGTTGCTTGCGCGCTTTCCTGATCATTTCTAACAAAGCATTGGTACATTCCCTTATCTTCCTTCTTTACACTCTCGATCCTTAGTACGCGATCTTCCAATCCAAGAGGCTTTCCATCCTTGAGCCAGGAGATGGTCTTGATCGGGTTGCCTTGGACGGTGCAGGTAAAGGTCGCGGGTCTTCCGAAGTCGATGGTCTGTGTGCTAGGTTCGATTTCCGCATTCAGTGGTGCCGTGACAGTCAAAACAGTCTCCACGCTTTCGCCGCCGACGGAATTGTTGACGATGCAAAGGTATTTACCGGAATCTTCGACTCGTGCTTCACGAATGATCAGAGTGCCGCTTACTTGACGTACGCGCTCATTCAGCTGGACCGGTTGACGTCTCGATGTACCCTCGATGAATTTGTACCATCTGAAACAAAAGGATAAAAACTGCCGATTTTTGCGTTAACGCCGGAACGAGAGTTGCTCGTTCTGTACTTTACTATTTTCGCTTATCATTCTAAATTCAAATTTAGATCGCAAAATGGAACACTCATACATTAACATAACAAAACAATCATATTAATAACCATATTAACATATTAAAACTAATTTCAATCAAAGTTGTTTTTTATATAAATTTGTATAAATTTATATAAAAAAATTACATATATACGTTTATTAAATTACTATTATTATATGTACATACATTTAAAATATTCTTTTTCCGTAAAAAAATACTTGTATATATAATTTTATCACATAATATATCTTTAATAAAATTCTAGTTGGATAAAGATAAATAACAAATGTTGCAATTTTGGCGAATACATTGTATGCTCCATTTTACGTTATTATGCCTTATTCTATATGCGGGGCTTTGGGCGTCTCTGGGCACGGCCTTTTATTTTTTTCATTGATCAGTATTATATGTCTCACGCGAGATAATTTTGTACAAGAACAAAATCATAATTCAACAATAAAACAAGACATTTCTACACGATCGAAAAGCAATGCAGGGGCGCAACAGAAGAACAAAGATTGGCGGCGACAATAGATGAATAAAAGCAAGAAAAAATAAATATTTAAAAGGATATTTGCGTGTCTTGCCGCAAAAATCCCTAAAGGAGAAGGTGAAAGGCGACTGCAGCGTGAAAGCAAGTACGAACGACTCTACTTGATTCTTCATGGTATACGATTGTTCGCGACGACGCTGACTAGACTAAGGGAAGGAGAGCGGAAAAAAGAAACGCCTAAAATAAAATCCAGAATACAAAATTACATAACTAAACGATCAGTAGCTGTCTTTTGACGTGACTATTGGACGCAGATGCTAGTGCAGGGTCACTTTTTAATTTTCCAGGCAACAATATCACATAACGATATTGCGATATAAAATCATTTGAAAATTCTTTCTCTGGCATTGATTAATCGATTTCAAACAAATGATTTGAAATTACGAAATACTGTCGAATATAATTACAAGTGATGGAAGGTGGTCGGGGAGGAAGCAAAAGTGGTGGTGGTGTTGGTGAACTGGCGGTACGTTTAATAGCGATAGTGCAACTAGACAACGTGAAAAAACGTTAAGGCTCGATCCTCATCTCGTAAACGATCTGCTTCTTTTTTCTTGTGAACGAACGGAAGAGAGAGGGCGGGGAATTATGAATTAAAACACGAGCGGATGAACGGAGGCACGAGAAGGTGGCGAGGACTTACCAGCCAGTATTGTGGGACTTATTTGGAGGTGTGCAGGTGTAGGGCAACATTGACCGGCCCATTGATCGGGTGACACCCTCTCGGACCACCCGGATCAGCATCGAGGATACCGGGGGAGCAGAGGGCCCGCATCCTTTTCGAGGTCGCGCTTCCGTCACCTATCTCGAAGATTGCGCCGAGGGGGTAGGATCCAGTTGGCACTGAAAACCAACACGTCCAATTGGCCCCGAATCAGGAATATATATTAAGCGTCGTTTAATCGCTATTGCTCTTGTGAATTGTGTAAAATATCGCGTAGTTATATTCGAAATTGAAAGTCTATCGAAATCATCGAATCGTCGCACGAAAATCAAGAGCACCAGCTTTTTTCCTCCAATAATTCCCGCCATTAAGTTGTTCTATTATAATTTACGCTCTCTCTTTCGTCTTCTTTTCTCTTTGCTTTTGTGTTCTCTACATTTTTATCTATTTTTCTCTCACATTCTGCATCGAATTTTCACGATACTTTTATATTTCCTGCTTAAAAAATCTTGATTCTTTCATAATATTATAATTCCTATTTTTTTATAGAAAACTTTCTCTCTTGCCCCTGTCATATCTTACGGTACCGCCACCCGACACGGGGTAGAGGGTAAGGATAAAAAATAGTCAAAAGTGAACACAGGATCTGTGCCCCGCAGAGCGTGAAACTACGTCCAAATCAGGGAGAACAGAGATCTATGCGGAAGTGTACCTAGTTATCGGGGCAGGAAAGCCTTGTGCCGCACACGCCAGCGCCAGAGACTCGCCCTCTACCCCGCGGTACTTATTAAGACCGTCTCCAGTCGTCTTCGGGGCAGTACGACCAGACGGCTCTGAAATAAATAGATTGCCCAAAGTGAGAGCTTCGTCTCTTTGTAATGTTTCAAATCCGATCTATTTCTTGGTTCCATTCCGGAAATGATGCGTGAAGAAGAATGCGAGTTGAAGAATCCGAGCGATTAACAAGCTTGATAATACGTACCCAGTATGCCATTGTGCTGACCTGGCTTGATTCGATAGAATCGTCACATGCAGTTTACTTACCTCACATGATATCAAATTGTGAGCTCACAGAACGTTTTAATATCAGTTTACATCCGATATTTTTCTTACATATTTTTATTATATCTGAATAATATATCTCGAAAAATTCTTTAGAATTTATTTTTGATACACTGCATATGATATAACATAAGCATTAGGCAGAAAATATAGATGTAAACTTATGATATTATGAATCTCTTTTCCAAGTAAATAACCTAACTTCACTCACGATAATAAAAGAAATTCTGAGCATAAAATTTAGATTATTCTTTTGTTATATCCATTTATGATTTCTTAATTTTATTACTCATCAAACAAATTTTTATGTATGTGAATACTCAATATTACGGGCTTGTTATAATTTTATTCTACTCATAGATGACGACGATGAAAAATGGAAGAAAGATGAAAACGGATATATGGTGGAACGATTGGTACAAAGTCTACCTTGTGAAAGGTACAGGATATCCCTGAAGGGAATGGCTCAACGCGACGTCTTGATTTCTAGCAGTCAAAACAACTTCCCATCCAAAGAATTTCTTTCCCGATGATCGCGGCGCGATTTTACTTGTACCCTCTGAAATCGGATTATATAAAATTGTAAAAAAGAACAGAGGGCTTTCGGCGATTTTTGCCGATATACCTTGTTAATGGGACAGGAAAACCCTGAGTCGCGCAATCCAACGCCGCCATATTCGTTTTTAGTACATCTATTAGTTTGCCACCCTCGTAACGCTCACCAGCAATGCGTGGCGCGACATTGCTAGTCGGTTCTGTAAATATGGTTGATGCAAAATAGTCGAATATAATATAATAAAAGATTTTGCTCTATATAATAAAAGAATAATATAATAAAAGAAACTAATATAATAAAAGATTTTGCTCTACTGTTATGCTATTAAAACTATGATTTTTATTTTAATATAAAAATAGCTTTAAAACAACGAAAAATCATACGAAAATTATCTCGAAAATTATCTAAATCATCTGAAAATTAATTTGCAAATTTTTTTAAAATTAAATCTTATTTTTGTGTAGTAAATGTATTGTAATTTTATATTAATTATTTATAATAGCGGTAATTTCATAATTATATACAATGTATATGTCTATGTCAGATTTTATTCCCATCTCGTTTAATCAATCGATTCATAAATGTCTATACCTGAATGCAAGTGCTGGGAAACCCTGAACAGGACACGGTAGACCGACCATTCTTTCGACTAGGATGTTTCTCCTCAATCCGTTTACATCTTTGTCTCGTACGTTTGGACGTACGCTGCCTCGCGGTTCTGCAATAGCGCAAATAGTGGAAAAATAGGAAACGCAACGCTTTCTCCATCGTCGTCATTATCATTGAGCTTACCATTGATGCACGAAACGCAAAACGCGGATACCGCAAAATGTGAAGATAACGATTGATTATCAATTGATCATGATTAAGTTATTTTGCCTTCAAAAAATTTTTTATCCAATTTTATCGAATTATTATTAAAAATGTTTTGTAAATTCTTTTTAAATTTTGAACACAAAAATTGATACAATAACCGGCAAATTACTTGATAGCTAAATTGCTAGACTTTGCTCACCTAAACAAAGGCGATGGACTGGCTTGAGCATCGCAGAGTAATGTTACTGCTTGACCTTCGATTTTCATCATTGCGTCAAATTTGGATCTAGGCGGCAATCGAGGCGGACTACTTCCAACCGGTTCTAAAAACGAAAAGGGTGAGAGATTCACCACCTAACAAGAAATCAATCGATATCTTCACATAATCTGTTTCTATCCGGAGTACATGATTGGCAAGATGCATTTTTGGTCTTAATACAAGCAAATCTTAATATTTCCCGATGTCTAAAAAGATTAATTAAACTAATAACGTTCAAAGATTAAGTTCAAAGATTAATTTTTATAATAATTTCTTCTTGAAATTAGAAGAATTTTTGGTGTAAAAAAAATTTTTTCATGAACGAATATAGCAAATGTAAATTTTATTTAGATCTAATATTTATTAATTAATTACTTTTCATTTCGGAAAGATTTCTACCAACGGCCAATCTTTGCACCGAATCTGCACATACCTGAAAACAGGAAGTGGATTTGCTTGAGCCTGACACAACATCGCCATGGCAGATTGCGATGCGACCGAGAGGACAATTATTTTAGCTGTCGGTGGCACTTTCGGTGCTGCGCCAGTTATTGGCTCTACATATACAAACAATAATACGATGAAACGATTCTAGACATTTTACGTTGACATGTATCCCCTAAGCGAGCAAAGTTTTCCCCAAGATAAGAACACTGTATCGAAGACATGAGATATCTTTATGCAAGAGTCAAATAGAACTAATAAAATAAAAGAGATTCACCGCTACCGAATCCTCAGCATTAATAATCGTAAATACCTATAAGTTGGAAGAGGGTATCCCTGCGCAGGGCACAGCATCGTTACAGCTACTCCAACGACATTCGCGAGAACATCATATTTAGACGTGGAAGCGACTCTAGGTTTGGCACCATTTATCGGTTCTACAGAACGATAATGTCATGGAAACTACATTGTATCAAATGCAAAAACAAATTCCACAACATGATAAATTAAGTATATCGATAGACTGACCTAAATGCAGGAGCAGGGAATGCTT